GGGAATTAGTCAAATTAGCAAATCAGTGAAAAAGATATAAATCAAAGCCTGGAAGCTAACAGGAATTAATATGTGAACAAAAGAATAAAGATAGTAGAACAAAAACACAGACAATCATCATAGAGACCAGGGCATATGATTCAACAAAGATTCAAAGAATCATTTTAAATAATTTTATACATCAACTCCTAATTTAATGGATTCATCGTCACAAAAGTATTTTAGATTTATGCTTAATAGTCAGAATTTCCTATGTCACATTGACTTCCATTTAGACCAGCTTGTTGCAACAATATTTAGAGAATCTTGATAAGAGGTATAATAAAGATATGAGACTATTTGTAAAAAGCTATCTTAGAGAAGGACAGAGAATGTAACTATAGTTTTGCATATTCCTACCCCTGTTTGTCATTTATGAAAATGGAGAGCTGATAAGAGAGTAAACAACACCATATGTATATATGATGGCTGGTCAGATGCTCAATAAACAAAAGTTGTCTCCCTTCCTCAAAAATAAACTCACTCACTCACACTCACACACACACACACACACACACACACACACACACACACACACTCATTCTTTGGTTGGTCTTCAATAATTACTCTTAGTTTTTCAATACTATTCTATGGCTAACAATGGTAAAGCGCCATTAGAATTTACAATATGTTTTCATATTATCTTTTTCTTTCACCCCTTACTGTAGCAAATAGGACCATATTATATGTATTTTCAGTGACTATAATCTATATTTCTCTCCAGGAAATTATACACTCCCTTTTCATAGATTTCTCCCCTCCACCCCAACCCTTCAGCGAACAACCTCCTCCCTTCTCCACGGAACTATAATTAAGAGCCGCTGCGCTATATGCTAACCTTTCAAAGTTCTCTTACTCAGCTCCTATGAGACAAAGCAAATAGTTTAGCTGGTGTTTCTAAGTGAAAGGCATCCACAGAGGAAATGCATACATGAGCTCGTTAAAACCTAATATATTTTCTTGTTGTGCTGTAACTTCCTCTGCCACAAGGTTCTTTTTATTTTTTTCAAGGTTAACTGTTGAAGCACCTAGTCCCAAGGGCTAAAGTAGTAGAATGGGAGGTTGGAGAAATAAGGGCAATGCATAGAGGTGCTGGCGGCTGCATGTGAGTTTTCTTAGGCAAAGTAAAGCTTCAAGCTGGGAAAAGGAAAAATTAATGTTTTAATCTCTCTCCTTTCTGCCTTAGTTAATAAACTGGCTTGATTTTATAACCATAGGATGGATATTCTAACTATGTTCCTATTATATTCGACTTAGGAAATCTCCTATTATGTAGGAAAAGGCATCTGTTATGGGATGAATTCCTCAATTCATCCCTTCCTCAAAACCCCTATGCTGAAGTTCTAACCCCCAGTCCTCAGAATGTGACTATATTTGAAGAGAGGGTCTTTATAGAGGTAATTAAGGCTGAACGAGGTCAATGAGGTGGGCCCTAATCCAATATGACTGGTGTCTTTATTAGGAGAGATTAGAACACAGACATGCACAGAGGAAAATTATGTGAACACACAGAGAGAAGACAGCCACCTATAAGCCAAGTTAAGAGGCCTCAGAAAAAATCAACTCAAGACTTCCAGGCTCTAGGGCTGAAACTAAACTTCTGTGTAAGCCATTCGGTCTGCTGTACTTGCTATGGCAGCCGTAGCAAACCAACATGATATCCGAAAAGTACCTAAAAAGCCTGTTTAAAAAAAAAAATGCACTTAGAACCCAAGGATTCCCCCTCAAAAAATCATCTACAACTAAGAAGCCAGCACTAAACTGAATTCCCTAGAATGTGCGCTATAGCGTTCTTGGCACAGTTATCAATTATCATTTGTTGGATTATAATGGTGATGTCTTTAAGAGACACCGGTGGCAATATGAAGGTCACTGTACAGGACGAAAGCTGATGACTGAGAATGGCAAACAGACCCACCGACAGTAACTGGACCCACTGGATGAGTAAGCTTTTATCTCTGTGCACGCAAACTCCAACCTCATTCCGATATAAACTGCTGAAGCTGGGAGACTGCTCTGAATCTTTCTTCTTTTGAGATTGCTAGAAAATTTCAAAATAAGTTCTACGATAATTATCACAGCTGAAATTCAAATGTTCATGCAAGGAAGAAAATAAACAGCTCTTCGACTATTTTATCCAAACAAAGCAAGAAATGGCTTTCAACTCCAAAGAGGCTTGGAACAAAAAGCTCTGGAAGTTACAGTTACAGCCAGGTGGAGCGGCAGTATACAGTCACCTTTCTAAAGGTTTTTAGAGCCTGGATGGACTACCTGTGGTAAACAGGGAGCTCCTGGTAGTTCCTTAAAGTCTTAAAATTGAATAATGAATATAAAGCAACAGTAGGTATTAGGCTTTTATTTTCAGTTCTAAACTGAAAATGAATTAAGTTGTGAAGGGACTGCTTTTGTAAGTGTGTATGATAAGTTTTAGGTTATTTACCTTAAGAATAGACCAAAAACAAGCATATTTGGCCACAGACAATGTTTATATATTCCTCTTAATCCCTTGTGTTGTGTTTTTTTCTTTATAAATCTTTAGTACTAACATCCCTGACTGCACCATAACCCACCCCTTCCTAAATGGCATCTGTTTTAACTTTACTATGTGCCAGGTGCTATGTTAAATGGCTTATATGCATTTAATCTTCACCCCAATCCTATGAGATGGGTAGCATTTGTGTTTTTTCAGTTTACCTTCATCAAGCACAGTTAAGTATTAAATTAGGTTTGCAATACAGGTGTGCTCCCCAAGCATGAGCGAAAATGAGAGCAAAGCTCCTGAGGGTCAGCACATGAACGAGACCAATGCCCCTGGAGAAGCGGCTGCCACAGAAGACGGTTCATAGACCTGGCTTACGAGGACGGGCTATGGCTGTGCCTAGAGAAAGGTGACTACGAAATTGTCTCAACACCCCTCCACCTCCAGCTTGTTAAAACTGCCTAATTTTTCATCAATCTTCTGGTATAATCTACTTTGCTACTGAAGAAAAAAAAAGCCTATCAGTCAACTCCAACATCTGGTCTACCTAGAAGTTTTATTCCCCACTATAAATGCATAAATTGGCATCTGGTCCTAGTTGGCTGGTTATTAGGAGCTAACACTTGATCCAATTCAACAAAACAAGTTTGAAGCCCTCAACCAAGAACACGGATCTGAGGCCATGACAGTCTCGACCTCACACTCTGAGGCCTCGTGTGTGGAGCCGGCATATTTCTTTGACGTTGCTTTGTTCTTTATCTTCCTATCTTTCAGTTTAAGCAACGTGAACCGCAGCCAGCAGACCTTTATAATGAATACAATTTCCATGAATGCAATGGTACAAAACATCTAGTTCCCTACTAGAGTCTATGGCCCAGTAAAATTTCAAAACATAAATATTTGGGGGAAAAGGTTACCTTTATTTTTTTCTTTGCCAAGTAAGGGTCATTAAAAAATGACCTGTTCATAAAAGACAAAATATTTATGCAGGGAAAGAAGGAAAAACAATCTCATAATAGATTTTTTTTAAAAAATTAAAGTGAATTTAACTTTGAGGAAAACCCACTAGAGAATGTTTATTTTCTCACCTCAACAAAGATGGCCCAAGGGGCAACTGGCCTAATTTTGTGACTTCATGAGGAAACTGGGACAAAGAAGAATCGATCCCTCTGCCTAGGCCCCCACAGCGGCATCTCGACCCCAGGTTGGCGGCGGCTGCCACTGCGGAGACCCGCCGCTGGGGCCGTTCCACGGGGCGAGCTCCGAGGGCAGCCCTGACGTTGTCCCTCAGCCCGATGCCACTGTTACTGCCGGGTTTCCTTTTCAGTCTCCACACAGTTATGCTGAAATATTATATTCTGGCCTTATTTCTGGCAGCAGCAGCATGAAAAGACCAAAGTCTGGTGAACAAGTAAGGCTTTTATAAACCACACGGCCTCCAGAGGATCGGATGCGCCCACATTCACTCTCCTAAGTCAAACCTGCTACCTTTTCCTGGCGCGACAGCCCTGTGTCCTGCAGAGCACTGGTTTCAAACACTGGCCATAAAGAGGTCCGCTCAGAGAGATAATTTTTAATGCCCCATTCACAATATATTACAGACAAGGAGTAAGAGTTTGGTTTTGTTTTGGTTTGGTTTGTGTTTGTTTTGTTTTGTTTTGTTTTATTTTTGGAATGATGAGAATAAAGCTATCTGGGCAACACTTCTGAGAAGTGGTAGGACTTAAAATGAGCTTTGGCAAATGGAAGGCAGAATGAACCCACAAATCTGAAATCCACTCACTCATAAATGAGTAGAAAAGGAGTAAACAAGCCCTCTGCAGTCCCCCAGTTATTTTAACCTACAGGACTACCAAACAGACACTCGGATTCTTTCATTAGTGCTGTGCGTAGACGCCCCCTCCTTCTCTCTGAAATTTAGTTTGCTTCAGCAGAAGCCCATAAAAACAGAACTCAATAGCACGGCGGTAATACTTAGAACAGGCGGGGAGAAGACACTGTAAAGGCCAATAAAACAGCATTTTTCTTGTTCTCATTATACAGCAAACAGTCAATGCCCTTGTCCTTTGCAATGTCAACCCCTGTGGTCTCAGGCTGCTTTTTTCTGGTTTCAGATCTCTGATTACACTGGAACATTTTTCCAACTACATGGAAATGGTTTCTATGTTGACATTTCAAAGGTCAGTCTACAGAAGCTAAATAGATTAAGCCATCCTTTTTGTATCAGTATGTAATTCTCATTGTGACCAATTGCAAGATAGAACTGGTTAGCTCTCGAAGTTTACAAAATTCTTGCAACGATTTGAAGGAAAAATAATTATTCACAAAATTCCTGAGAGATTAATAGCAAGTTTTAATTGTCATTACAGAAGAAACTAATGCTATTTCTCCACTTGTTGAAGCATAACTGCTCTATTTTTTTCACCTATACTAACTTGTTTTGGGCTGTGAACTTCGCTAGGGTAAATTGATTATCACTTACCATTAATAAGCAGAGAGCTATCGGATCCTGGATATGAATAGTTTAGACGACCTGAAGGTAAAAGAAGGCCGTTACTAAATTTACTTTTTCATGGATGGTTTCAGCGTATTCAATAACAAAACTGAATTACTTGTTTAAATAGTAAGGTATTTTAAAAAGCTATATTATGGGATAAACTTTGTTGTGCTAATAAACACAATGAGTCAGAGGACATATGTATCACTCACAAACATTCAAATAGGGAGTCTGAAAGTAGAAAAGTAAAATATCCCTCCTATTTAACTAGTCAGTCATTCTAATTTCTCAATCCCTATCCACAGTAATTTTCTTTATACCATTATGCTCCAATATCAATTCATAATAACAATCTTCACATTTTTTTGCCCCATAAATGTGAACAATTTTTTCAAATGTATAGTTTTTTGTTGCTTTTTAGTACATAATCACAGTAGTATTTTCCTATGATTTAGAACAAAAGTGCCAGACTTATGTCTACATGTACAGACATGCTAATGGGTTTAAAATTCACCTTTTGGAGAGAAGTACAGAAGGTAAAGAAAAATGTATCATTGTATTCACACACGACAGAAAACACCAAAGCACACAGCACAATGCCCAGAGCCCCAGGGGCACTCGAAGAATGCTGAGTTCGTTTCCCTTGACTTTTTAAGTGATTCAAAAATCTAGTTCTGAACCTAAAATGGGCACCTACAATGCCCATCAAAAAAGGATTTGTGAAGGTACTAAAATTTTTGGAGGATGTGCCAACTTTTAAATTGGTAACAACAAATAAAGGGAGGGCTATGGCCCTGGAAATGGTTTCTCTATTAATAAGGAATTATATTTCTGTTTGGGAAGAATTTTACATGTAAGTTGATATCAGACCACAGGTTCTTACAGAATGCACACTAATTCTGTGCTATACATTATAAAAGTCATTCTGGCAACATTTTTAAGTCTCCATATTCCGCGTGCCCATTTACACCCGCCCTCATAAGAATGGTGGAGAACCCTGAACAAAGTCTCGCTCACCTAAGGAACAGACAGGAGAACTTGACTGTTAAGAAGCTACCATAGGCCAGCATCGTATAAGTCAGGAGTAGCGTGAGAATTTAAAATTAACTCGGAATTACAAACGTTCCATTGGAAACAGCAGTCTAAACGCCGACCCTACAGACTCACAGTAGGCTCTCCAAGGCTACAAAAAGGTGGGAAAGCAGAGGCCCCCAAGGCTTGAGGCTGGGGGGCCAGTCTTCCAAGACGCCAGGGGACTCTGCCTGGCTCCGCCGCGCGCCGCAGGGACCAGGGCGAACAAGTGGGCCATCAATCCCGCACAGGCGGACAGCTCGGGAACGGAACCGCAGGCCTCAGCCAGCCTTGGTCTCCCCAAAGCCTGCTTCTCTGAAACAGTCTCCAAGGAAATGAACTCATGCCGTGAAAAAGAGAACATTGTTCTTTACTGTTTACAGCTTTAATTAATCCATATCCAAAACTTGGGAGACTAACAGGAAACAAAATCTGAACCTAATGATTTTCCTAAGATTTAAAATCAAATACAAGGATTGTCTTTATTGTTATTAAATTCTCAATTGTTCTATTTAAAATTTCAGCTTGTCCCTATTAAGGGAGTGGAGGTAGGGATGGCGATACAGAAGGAGGAAGTACAAAATAACTTTCTTCAATTTCTTCCTAAAATTTGGCTTGTTATTTAATGCTCATACACACAGCCCAGTATCCAGCACCACTGAAATTCCATCTGAACGGCTTTACCTACAAGCCCGGATCGACTGACTTGCCACAGTGTGCTTTGTGAAGGGCGCAGACTTGAGATGCTGGACCAAGAACATGACCCTCAACTGTTAAAAACGTGGGAGGGGCAACTACTGTTCCCAAATCACTAACTCGTCCCAGCAGCCGACTTTCCTGGAACGGAACATAGTTTATAAAGTAAAACCCTCCAGGACTGAACTAACAGAGCAATCACATGTACCAGTTTTATTTATCATAAAACATTTTTTAAAAAGATGATATGAGTCAATGCAAAACCAAATTTATGTAATTACATGAACTGACGTAAAGAAGAAATCTTTTGTTGTATTTCTAAGAGGATATTCATATATTCCAGAATTTTTAATGTTAACATTCCAGCCGAAGTCATGGCTGTTCCATATGAACTACAATCTCTCCTCTTTGATGCCAAGGAAGGGTGATTAAGCATGAGGATCTGAAGACAAGTGACCAAACAGGCTGGCCCACTTTAGAAATCAAGTTCTACTTCATCAGAAATTCACCTTTGGGTAACTTTTAAGGAGAAGAGGACCGTTTCAGCTACGGGCACCGAAGTGCCCCTTTACTCAGGTCCAGAGGCCGCCTCAGAGCGCACCTCCTGAGGGGAGCCAGCCCTCCGCCCCCCGGGAGGCGACCTTTGACGGTGCTTCTGCTCTTCGGACTGCTGAATGCGGTCATTCTAGTCTTCAGCTAACACAATAGGGCACTGAAGGATCATTGGCAAGGTTCATGGTTTAACTCTGAAAGGTGATACTTGTTTTTAATTTTTGACCTGGTCTTATGAGTCCTCTCAGGTTGGACTCAGTTTTGATGTCTGAGTCGCAAATACGCCTGTGACATTTTGTTAAATATCAGTAATGCTTTCTACTTCAATTATAAAATATAAACAGTGACATTAAAAAAAAAAAACACTTTTTAAAAACTTTTTTAAAACTTCCCTAACCTGCCAGCCCTATCCTTCTGTAAATTCTTCCTATAATCAAACTAGTTAGAGCTATCCGTTCGTGACATCTATCATGGATCACGCACGTCACTTTCTCCCTGGAGATCTGAAAGCTCCCACCTGAAGCGCCGTGGGACTCCCAAGTCTTCCGCACGCCTCTCCCCTGCCCCCGCGCCCCGTCCGCCCCGCGCCGGCGGCCTCTCTGCTCCTGGGGGCCCGACACTGGCATTGCTGCATCTTCTGTTTCATGGCTAGGTCGTCCACAATCTCCTCCTTCATCTGGAGGGGATTTCTCAACTCTTTTTCTTTTTTGTTTGTTTCGCCTTTTTCAGGGCACCATTCCCAAAAAGGAAACCCCCTTTTTAGATCAACTCGCCAAATTTCATTTCTAGCCATGTTTCACCAGCCAACCTTCTTAGGTAATTATTTCAGCTACTGGCTAACTTTCTTATCTCTCTTACATAATAACCCTGTTTAGGGACTAGAGGGTTTTGGTTTTTTTTTAAACTAGTACCTTGAGTTTCCTGTTTGGGCACAAGGTAAGCACTCAGTGAATTCATTCCACTGAACTTAGAACACCAGCATTTCACAAATGAATAAAGTAAAGTAAACCAAAAGTATCTGATCCATCTAAATCTAAAAATAACCCAGTGTTTATGGTTTTTGTTTCACTGGTTTTTTTTGATAACTCATCCTATCTATAAACATAACCCAGGTTTTGGCACATTTAGAATTTAATTCCTCGAGGGAGAAGGAGGGTAGTAGGATTTCAGGCAAGTGAACCTATTGGGTAAAGAAAGTTCAATCTTTGAACACTCTTGGTATTGATTGTGTTACAAGGAGAAAGAAAGACCGCCTGAGGAGCGGTCTGACCTGCAAGGACACCGCAACAGAAAAGCCACGGCCTCTGCCGCGGCTGTGGCCTCTGGAGCCTGAAGGCCGGCGCACACCATGCATAAGGCACAGGCTATATTCGGCGACATGACTCAACCTTGCCAAATACAGGCCGCTGACACAGCGCGACTCTGGGGAACCACGCCACCGAATTCTACCGCCTTAAAAAGACCCACACTCCCACCAGGCAATTCTCGGCTAGGTACTCGCGAGTTGGGAGAGAACCAGTATTTGCCAGCCAGCCCGACTAAGAGTTACATGGGGAGGAGGTGCTCAAAAGAACAGTATGTACGATCATATTCTTATAAGACACTAACTAAAGTAACCTACTCAATGATATAAAAGGAATAAAGACTAGAAGGAAATTAAAATATTAGCAGCATCTGTATGTACTACTTTCAAAATTAGATATAAATTATTTTCTAAAAAGTAAACCAGACACCATTGCTACTGATGATTCAGCAAGAAATGATACACTAAAGGCTGCCCTTTCAAACACACAAAGACCAGAAAGTATCAAGTGCTCTACAGCACTATTAGATCTCGTGCTATGACCTTCTCTTTTTCAGAATCATGCCCGTGTCGTTGGTGACGCGGTGTAGGCCAAGGAATGGCAATGGGGGATAACTCTACCAGGTTGTCCAAATTACAGACAGACAGCCGTGCAGTCCTGGAAAGTGACAAATTGTGTGAAATTCTAAGTTAATTTTTAAATTGATTTACATTGTAAAACCTTAGATACTCCAAAGCAAAGGGAGAGGTCATCAGTAAACATCGGTACAAATTTCTAATAGGGAAAGGATAAGATGGCCTTAGGCCCATTTCTCAGGTAGATCCAAGATTTAGGCACACAACACGCTCACGTACACACACATACACATGCATTTGTCGTTGCTGCCTAGCGAGAGGTGCTCCTGCACCTTGCTCCCACTCATTTTATATAGTTCATGCCAAGTATGTAGACGCCACACTGCAATAAATAATCTTTTAAAGGAGGTGCTTCACCTGCCTTCCCACATCTGTGTTTACCAACAGTGTCAGAGACTTGCAGCAAGATGGCGCTGTGGGGACCTAGACGATGCATAACAAGGCTCAAGAAATGTGTAATAAATGCAGTTTTGAATACCACTTTATGCTTATACAAATGCAGAACACATATCAATATGAACTAACAAAAATGTATTCAATATGTTCTACCATTGAATGATATAAAGGTAACTATTTTAAATAATTTATTCTAACCTAAAAATAATTATTTGACCTAAAAATAACTCCCCAATCGAAACCTGGAATCTCATTCTCCCTCCTGACCCACGTGTGATACAACCGACTTCCCGTCAAGACGTCTGCATGCAGTATCAGAAAGGCGGGCCTGGCTGGGGCTGACATCAACTAGAGGGCTCCCCCGCCCCCAGAGAGCCAGTCA